GAGTCATACGTTCTATATATGCGTTTCATAAGTATATTGCCAGGGTGCTGAAAAAGAGGGGAAATTGAAGGACTTGAAGCAGAACAGATGGTCACACTTTCTCAAATGTCGGTCCATGGGGTGGACTGGTGGTGGTATTACTTTTAAAGAACACAATCTTTGAAGCAAGACATGATTACTGAGAAGATTTACATTCATCATATAACCCTTGGAGAAAATTAAAAATAGCTGACGCAAAACACTTGACAGAAACGGCAGGACTTGGCTATCCAAATTTAGTCACTCTATGTAACCTCTTCATCTTCACACTAAATACATTATTCTCTTACCTGACTGAATATATTCTTAGAAGTACTTAGCAGTAACCATCAACTGTAACGGTAAGATGAATCGGTACAGATTATGATGTAACCTTTGCATAAGCTCCGATAAGTTGTGTTTAGATCTATCATTCTTGTGGCACAGTGAAATGTGTTTATATTTACCTAGACCGAAATCGAGTAAAGAGCTAGTTTATTTAGTGTCTCGGAGTGGTCTTGAAGTTAATTTAACTCATGAATAGAGTGGTCCGTCATGTCCTTTTCACGTGACCCATTCCAAAATGACAGAAATCTTACTTAGGAAGAGGTTTGTCGTACATTAAATCTACCATATTGTATTGTGATCAACGCAGTGTGATTTTTTAGTTTAATGTTGGCAAATTGTTGAAGTCTAGGATTGGATTACAGCAGTGTAGTTATTGGTGTGTGAGTTTGGAGTAACATGAAAGATGAAACTCAAACTTCCGTTACTAAAGCAGTGTAACGGAAAGAGAACGATGAAAATCCTGCCGCAGCATTTTTGTTGGACAGTATTGTCATTTATTTGTTTCTTCTCCCTGTCGTGTATTTTAACGTTTGTTCAGATCTCGTTTAACCACACCTTTTGTTCTTTAGTCTTTCGTGCCTTAAGGTAACCCTCGTGTTATTGATAGAAGAAACCAGACAAGTGGTGAATAGGTCTTTATTTCGATCTTCGCGCAGTCACAGTGGAGCGTGGGGTTATTTAATTAGACAAACAAAGCCCCTCAACATTCAATATAAGATAATAGGAAATATAACGCTTATACAAAATAAGGAAGTGAATAAATATTTGAACTATATTATTTTGGCATATGCTTGGTTGTTTGAGGTGAACTGTTAACCAACCAACCTAAGCTGTTACAAGTCTTCCTCGTCTGAGCCTTTATTATGTGGTTTTGATTAAAGGCTTATCTTTTGTCACCTGGTTTTCCATTGCGTGTTGCCCACCTATTGACAGTAAGGTAGTGTTTGACTAAGCACAAGGTCACGGCGTGTTTCAGCGTGTATCTGTTGACATTTTGACTGTCTGCTTGGGAGGATTTCTGGAATCCCTGCGGATAGACATTTGATCCTTTCTTGTTGGGAATATTTTTATTGATTCTCAGGTATCGTACCCTTTAGTACCAACTGTTTCTTTTGTTGCTCAGCGCGCTACTTTGAGTCGCAGAAACTTCTGACTGTATAGCGCTGGCTGTACCGTTTGAGGTATTTTGTATTTCTGATATAATTTGTTTTATTTCCTAAATTAGAACCGTTTAAATTGAGCACAGAGTTTATGTTTTGATATAATTTAATACGAGTATTTCAAAATCGCTTTGTAAGCTATACAGAAGAACTTAGTCTGGCCTATTTGAATAAATTTTGGTTCGTCAGTCCTGCGTCCAAATCGAATACTGGCGGTTCGGTCGTTACAGAGGTTCCAGCCCTAGTATGTTACATCGTGTGAAGAGGCTTTGATCGTGATCCATTCCTAGAGTCATTTTTATGTCACATCGGTTTTCAATGTGTAGCTTACATGAAGGCTATTATGTACAGATGGACAACATTCCATTACTGGGTGAACACATAATTTATATAATAAGAGCCTAGACTCACTCTGCCAGCAATTACCCACAATACTACCCGTGAGTTTACGAGCCTTGGAGGTGGCCAACGTTATTTGTTCTTAAACATTTAGGTCATTCGAATATCTTAAGCCGAAGCCTAAGATTTAATCACATATGTATATTTGCGCAACATCCACTTCAAAATGGAGTCCCATAGTGCCACATCCTATATCAATCCAAATGAGTTTGTTAATATTGAACTGGATACTCACTGAGTATTTGCGGGCATATTGTTTCTAGAATGTTATCTCTAGCTGGTGATCTAAACAAACTAATAGAAGTGCTAGCCTCTTGATTATTAGAAATTAGTGCCACCATATCTCTTACAATGCACATCACTGAGTCGAATGCAAATGAGTACATACTGAATATTATTCAAGTGTTGTATATACATAGTTATTTAAGGAAAACGAAAAGTCAGAAAGTAAAAGCAGTAGCTACTGAAGACCTAATATCCCTTTGTCGTGTGAACTGCTGTGGTGATTACGAGTATTTGAATTATAGTATGAACTAAGAGTCCCAGAAATAACGTAATAGGATCAAGAAGTACCAGATAACCACAAACGAATTTACTGTATTTAGAATTTGAAATCAAGCATTCAACAAGTACAAAGGTATCATCAGTCCATTCAAACACCACAACTGCACACTTAATCGACAAGGAGCATATGGCGTTGTTTTCCGTACTTTTGTGGAAACCCAGACTAATGTGTGCAACCCCATGGTACATGGGTGAAAGAGGACTGTAAACATTTCGGAGTTTATTGAAGTTTTCGTCTACGCTCTCTAAGATAACGTCTAATGATGGTCCAGTCTAACTAATCTTACTTTCACTTGTTGCCGGAAAATTATGTAGTCCCACGTAATCTTATCAGCGGCCAAAAGTCTCTTTCTATGAAGGCATTAGCGCAAGGAGAATAAATTGAGTCAATAAAATACTGCAGGTTTATACGTGTAATATTCTGGTGAACATGAGCCTTTTTGATGCAGCTCATGATGTTTAGGAGTAGAAAATTCACAAATTTTTCCTAAATGCTTATTGGCATTCCTATCCAAAGTGTCGTTTGACTGGATCAAGAAGAAGGTGATGCTAAACCTTGACCAATGAAAACTATTCTCTGATAAACACAGATGGCGACTGTCGGATATCTACTGAAACCCGCATATGTCGATCTTTGAAGAGTTAGACTCAGTCTTCCTAATATCAACTTCACTGAACACGCGTACAACAGGAGTTAGCCTGCTGGGACCCGCTTCTTGAACTCCACTGAAGAACTCGGGTTCTTCGGTTTGAAGTCAGAAACTCGGTTCCCAGAAAGAGAGACACTTCCCTACATAGATAGTGTCTTTACTTACAGTGGATTCCGAGTTGATAACCTCTTGATTTTAGCTCGCCTATAACAGTGATCACGCATCCATAAACGTCAACGATATTTATGTGATCTAACTGAATCTCTCTAAGGAAATCAGGTATTGGAATTTAAGATGTTGGGATGTATCATCTCTAGAAGACCGTTAGCATCAAGTAAATTTGGAAACCTATCCTGTTTGGTTTAAATACTTGCTGGAATCCTCTCTCCACACGTTCCTGTGTTACTTACTTACTTACGCCTGTTACTCCTCGTGAAGGAGCATTGGTCGCTCACCAGCATTCTCCATCCAACCCTGTCCTGGGCTATCCTTTCCAGCTTCTTCCAGTTGTAATTCATCCTCTTCATATCTGCTTCTATTATCCGATGCAGTGTGTTCTTTGGCCTTCCTTCTTTCTGATTCCCTTAAGGATTCCAAGTTAGGGCTTGCCTCGTGATGCAGTTTGATGATTTGCGTAATGTATGTCCTATCCATTTCCATCGTCTTTTCCTAATTTCTTCTTCAGCTGGAAGTTGGTTTGTTCTCTCCCACAGAAGGCTATTGCTGATGGTATCCGGTCAATGGATGTTGAGTATCTTGCGTAGACAGCTATTTATAAATACTTGTACTTTCCTGGTTGTGGTTGTTGTAGTTCTCCAAGTTTCAGCTCCATACAGTAGAACTGTCTTGACGTTCGTATTGAAGATTCTCACTTTGATATTGGTTGTAAGTTGTTTTGAGTTCCATATGTTCTTCAATTGTAGGAATGCGACCCTTGCTTTCCTGTGTACATGGAGATAAATAAATCCCCGAAATGAATAGTTTCATAAGTCCTCGGCATTGATACTGACCTCAATAGTTTTAATAAACACACTCTATCTGAAAGGGTTGGGTCGCGCATCCACACCAGGTCACCACTGTGTACGCCGCGCCACGAACCTATTTCAACTACTGTCCAGCTTGGCTCACACACATTTTGACACGTCGACACCCGGAAAACATACTTTTGAAATCATTCGTTCCTGACTTCTGATTTTACTGGGTTTATATCCTTCGATTATAAAGGTGTTAAGGACAGCAGCGTTGTCAAACCCTGAATATCTGTGGAATCTTTACTCATAAATTATCATCGGTCTCGTTTTACCCCGATAGTATCAGGAGTTGGAGAGCGATAAGAATCGAAGGGGATAGTTAAAGGCTGCATAGTGACCAAGTGAAGTTATCTGACTGGTCTAGAACTAGGTAATTGTTGATATATACTTCCAACCGCGTTGTGACTAATACCGGTTATCAATGGGAATAATGTTACGTATGGACTTAGAAATCATTATCGTCTAAGGCTTAAAAACAACCACTCAATTGTGCATGATTTTTGATAAGTTTTTAGACGCTCTCGTAAATATGTGGGGTATTTGGCCACTCGGATGTGACAACCTTCGTGACCTTTCGGTATGGGATTGTGGAGACTGTTAAATTTCACCAAGATCACCCATCGATATAAGTTGGAACGTCATCTAAAACCTGGAAGCACTGAAATGCTGTTTCGTCCTTGTCTTTGTCCGAGCAGATGACACTAACCTCACGATAAATATCGTCATAACGTAACCGGACCCCCAAAAAGTGAGCACTTCAAAGATTATTACACTTTACGTGACCTACCGTTATCCTTATTAAGGAAGATTTAAATCAGCTAACGAGCTTTGTTTGAGCGTATGAAGGTCGGGCTTAAGTCAAGTGCGGTTTCTGTTTTTCGATAAGGATGAAGGCGGAGGACGAGACTAATAACAAGTTGGATATGAGCTTAGGTAAGATATTTCTATGCCAGGTGAATCGTTTTTTCAGTTAGCATTGGTTAAACTGGGCTGTTTAAGTTGTAAACTGGGGACTAGAGTATCAAAGTAGAGCCAGGCTTGTGTTGCTCATAAAATTCGGTTACTACGTAATTATAAGACCCAATATTTTTCAAGTGCAAGATGTTGTTTCGGGATTGGTCGAAGCCTGAGTTAGTGATAGGGAGTGGATTAAATGAGTGTATCGGCTTCTTCACTCCTCTTAGCTAAGAGGAGTGAGTAACCTGTTACTCACAAGTTCTAATGAACTGGTGTCTGACAAAATCTTGGGATGGATTCAGCCCAGTCGGCTTTTGCCAGCTTGAGTAACTTGTTGCAAAAATGAGATATCCGTCTGTCAACTAAAGAGTCAGTTTACTACGTAGCAGTTCGCTCCATTCTATGTGGAAGCCATTCAAAATCGATGATATCCGGAGGTTACTGGTATTCGATCATAGGTGTCCTCGAAGCATTGCTCTTGTATTTTAATACCACCATGTAAGTAATGGATAGATGAGAAATAGGGTGCTAAGTAAAGATAGCAAATAAATTAGCGAGGTACTAAATGCTCACCAACTGAGGTGGTCGGAACATGTGCTACGCCCGGGCGATGTTTTCGGGTACGAAAGTAGGCTGGAAGAAAGCTAAAGGCGACCAAACCAAAAAATGGCATCAATCGTTAACAGTTGAACTGAGCCATGTTAACAGTTGTAGACCATCTAATTGAGATCTGTGTCGTCGTAATCAACGGTTAGATGCATTGAATGACGTGACTCAAAATTGTCTGGAATGGCGCAGGTTTGTCCACTATTCGTTTTTCTTCAGGTTCTAAACTCTTCGAAACTTTTCCATTAGTTTATATTTTATGTCATTGATGTCTAATCTTTTATATTGCCACTCGTACTGTTACCAATTCTACCACTGGGATTTGCCCTAACAACTCATCTCTGTCCTAACGCGTTATGGCAACGTGAGCGAATGTACATGCGTACCAGGGTTCACGTTGTGTTCGGCTGACTGGAAATACAACAACGATTCACCTAAGAAATGAGACGTAGTGAATTGAAGGAAAGTTATTGTCACTGATTAACTGGACAAGAGTAGTGTTTATTAAATATTTGATTTAAAAGCAGACAGCTTTCCAGTGAAGTAAATTTGCTTTTTGTAACATTTGTGCAAGAAAACTACGACAGGATTACCACTAACTGTTGTGATAAAGTCCTAAGGCAACTAACTACGAACTCATGACCTTTAGGACTTCAGCCTTAGTTTCTTGATAAGCTGACAGCTCCATGCCATATACAGCTGTTTTTTACTACAATTAATGATTGCTAATAAACAGGATGTGCTGCTCATTTCTAACAATAAAAAACACTAACATTGGTTTGTTATTATCACACGGTTTAAAGTTTTAGAGCTCTAATATCTTGCTCAAAATTCACTTCCAAACAAACCACAGTAACTATGAAATTTCATAAATTGTACCATATGATGTTTCCAGACATAAGTGCTTAAATCTTGGCTTGGACAAGAATGAACTTACAAATTGGCATTCCTGCTTTTTGGGAATTCCAAGTGCTTAGTATATATATAGGTGAATGTTATGTATGTTCACTAAAAATGGCTTATTGGTAACGTAGTTAATCGGCGTAACTTAATTATTTCAATTATAGCAATGAAACTTAACTAAACCAACGCATATGCTTGGTGACTCTATCGGGGCTTACAACTACAAGAATATTTATTTAGGATATTTTGTCGGAAACTTTTGGTCGCAGCACACTCTGGTCTACTTAGTGAATAAAGATACGCAAGTGTTGGGAGATTGAAACTATGCGTAGTGATGAATGCCAAACTTGCATCGATTTTATCTTGTCCTCATTGAGTTAGTCAATATTGGACTTAATTCATTAGTCCACCCAGAACAATGCTTGAGAAACCCTTGATTGGTTTTCTGAGCCTTTTTGCCTGTGTAGCTATCACTGGAGCTCCTTTAAAATAAGTATTCTACTACCATTACATTTTTATTTTTTTACTCTAGAGACAAATTGGATACTTGTTACATTAAAATAACTAAAACGTCTCTTCGAACCTCAAGAGTAGTATTAGTAGTTTTATCGTCCTAGAAACGGGAGCACAAATCAGGTGCTCAAAAGCCAGTCATATACATATTTCTGGGAATATATGGTTTCAATTTTAAAAAACCACATCTATAGCCTAAAGAAATTCTATCGTTAGCATTGAAACCTAACAAGGCAAGAGAGTCATTGTGAAAAAAATCTATGATTTGTAATAAAAATCGCCTGGAGATTATCTATATGAGTGATTGCAGTATTAATTGGTTGATCATGTGTAATGATACGATGTGGCTGAATGATGAATACTACTAGCCAGAAGAATTTGTTTCCTATCTAATTAAATAACATGCATATACAAGAATTATTAGCAGGAAGATAAACGACTAGATTATATCAGTTTTGTAGGTCAGTCACTCACCATTGAATTAAGACGTGATTGTTTGGCCTAATGCTTGCTGGTCATATCAAGAGTGCATCCTGTTCAGAAAATATTTCTTTAACATTTGAGCGGTTACGCAGATTAAACTGTATAAGTAGTCTGTCTAAACTTGTGGTCCAACTTAATGTTTCGTTTCATTTCCATTCATTTCAAATCCTTTAGCACCTAAGTTTCACCAAATAGCTTGTAGATTTTATTCCCGATCACCAAAAATCTCGAACAATTCGTCACTGAAGTTCGTTTCAAGATGGGTACACCGAATTATCACCGTGATGAAACAAATATTGATGAACCTATGGTTACTAACATAGCGCTGCCACTGAATGCCACTAATCCTACGAAGGGAACGTTGATCGACATGGAGCTAAAGAACACTCAATTCAGAGAAACTAGTTTTCTCAGACTAAACTACTTTCACTGGGATCACTATAAATCTGATATTTTACAACTAGACTAGTATTAAGATGATTCCAAAAATGACTGAAATCGCCATAAGCCATCTTGGCTTTAACTATACGTAGATTGGTCCTATCACTCGTGCCACCACCAGCATTTACATAAATACACAACTTTACCGATGATTTTTCAAGGCTCCTCACCAAGGGAGAGCATAGTCACAGTTCCCTACCTATCTTGTAAAAACGCTTAGGACTTAAAAGATTCAGAGTACGTGCTATACCTACGGATGATGATTGCCAACTGATTAAGCGCTACTTACATATCTTGTGTCATCACGCAGTAAGGTGAATCATCGGAGTCTCTCTTCAGGCAACAGACCCACACCACTACCACCTACACCCATCAGAGCTGTTTCCAGTATGTTACTGATGATAAAGTTGAAGAGAAATGGTGAGATTGGTCAACTCTGTCTAATCTCACTGATAGAATGGGATAGTGGAGAGAGGTAGTTATATATCATCACTTCGTTTGAGTTGTTTTTTTATAAGGCTTTCAAGATACTAGTAGACCTCTCAGGCACATCTTTCTTCAGTAGGCGATCCCATAGAACGGTCCTGTTTAACGAATTGAAGGCGGCCCTGATGTCAAGAAACGCTACGATTGTTGGCCTGCAATAAGTTTGACGGTGTTCTAAAATTTGGCGGAGGGTGAAGATACGATTAACACATCCTCGACCAGAACGCAAACCAGCCTTCTCGTGGGTCAATCTTCTTCGGGTTTTGAACAATCTACAAAGTGTGACGGAAGCCGATTGTTTGAATGCAGTCGGAAGTGGACTTATCCCCCCGATAATTTGTAAATATAGGCACAACTATCAACTTATTCCACGATGTTAAAGCAGTCTGATTACCCGACATTAGTAAATAACTCAGTCTGTCCCCTAATCAGTAAATCATCCACCATCTTTAAAAAGGGCCGGAGGTAAGTCATCTGGGTTTGGTGATTTGTGACGCTTTAAGAGTTGGAGTTCTCTGTGCACTTTCGTTCCGTTAGGTAAATCAATCGTCACCGGACAGGTCAGTCAACTAGTCCCACTTTTACTTTGGCGTTTAATGTCGCACCAGCCCAAACCAAAGCGGACGAAAATGTTACAGGACTACCGGGTAACCACATATGAAACAGACTTCTCGAATCGATTAGTAGAGAGCAAACTGGTATTACTTCAGTAATTGTAAACACGAGCCTCGAGTGTACACCATACATTGATATCAAGACTTTCAGAAAACATACTTAAACCTTTTTGTTGTCCGATCTTCATCTGTGGGCAAATGTTGAAGGTGATCAGTCTCAATCGCACATGTGGTTTCAAGGAAGCTTATTCTGATTCTGTATTCGATGGTGACATTCAAACCGACCAATCAGTGACTTGGAGATCGTTCAGACAAGGTAGAACTCATCATAGAAGAGCAGCTGGTTTAGCTAAAAAAAAAGTATACACAAAATGGAGATGAAAAAGAAAAGTGAATTTATAATAAATTTGTTTTTAATCAGTCATTTGTAAATATCATTTGTATAGATGGCAAAGGCAAGCTGGAAGACTTAAATATTAATCATCATCATACTCTCTGAAGACCCAAAACAAAGCAGGAGACCACTTCGAGCCTATGACTTAAAGGTCTAATCCATTAGGCAGTAGCGTAACGTCAGGAGACGCAATCCCCTAATATTTGTCGGGTATGCTGTGCTGTCCGGTGGTGGTATGACGTAAATAGAGGAAATGTTAAGCTTAGGTTTTTTTGTCGAATATCATGGTGCATAACGTCCATGTTCAACAGGATGTGGGAACTTGTACTGATGTGCACATGTCCGAGATTCTACAGTGGATATGACTGATGACTAATTAATGCACAAATAATACCTAAATTGTCTCCATTCATCCCATACTACTTTTTCGTGTGTTTTAGTGAACAAAAAAGTAAAGAACTTGCCATAATAAAAAATTAATGATTTTCTAAGAATCAGAGTAGTTTATTCATGATCATTATCATAGTTACTTATATCTTCTCTTAGTGGTGTTCAACTTATTTCAACAATAAACAAAAGTCCCACTTGAAATCTGTCTTAGTTCGAATGAAGTTTGGTTACTCGTTAATAACCTAGTTTATACTGGATGTTGCAATTATAACATTGTCTAAACTTAATAATTAATTATACCAACTTCTCACGAATTATCTTCCTCTTTTCTTGTAGATGAAATTATCAAATTGGATAAAAAAGAAGCTCGTAAAAATAGACGAGTTCAACAAACGCTAGCTATTCGTGGTAGACGCCAGAATGTTTCTCAGTATCGACAAAAACCTCGAATATCTGCTGCTGCAACCCGATTACGTGGTTTAAGACAGAAGCGACTTTCTCGAATCAACCGTCCTATTCAGGGGTCTTCTTCTCAACATCAAGTTTTAACGAAAAACAAACGTGTGTTCACCGTAAAAAATATCCGCTCAAGTAGATCGACGGCACAGGCAGTCCTTCGCCGAGCTCAGAGAACCGCCGCTGCCGCTGCTAGGACAGCTGCTGATGCCACTGCACTTCTTCAGCGCAATCGTATTCAACGTCAGCAGTTGTTTAATGAACGAAGAAACATTCAACCAACCTCTCGCATTGGTGCGCACTGGTTCCTATAAATAATTTTGTTTATGATCATATTATTATTATTTTTTCAGTAATAAGTTCATAAAGTATTTGTCCCTAGAGGTTGGCACTTACTCAATTGTTAGATTGACTGTGCAAGGTCACATGCATAAGCTTAATAATGATTGGGTTTATACGATACCGGATTAGCTTTTCTTGGATGAATCATTCTTCGTCGTTTCTATTCAGTAGTGTTCCTCAAATGATTCCTACAACTAATTTAATTGATGTATTCTCAGTGATATCCCCGAACATGAACGATTGGAAGCATTTATTTCTTCTTATAGCCTATGAAAGACGTCCCTCAAGACGAAGGAGCGCTCCTGCTTCAACAGTCGGTTCCCGAGGAGCTTACACTTCACCTCAAGTCACTGGTCGTTCGTGGCAATCAGAGCAGCAATCACTTAATTTTCAAAGACGTCCACGTCGTAGATCCCTTCAGGTATTGGGATCACCTCAAGGTAAACTAACTTTTCGATGCTTGCTTTTCATCATTTTTAATTCCGGATTTCTAGGAGTATTTCCCGATGATGCTTATGTATCATACTACATAAAAACCTGAACACTAAGTAAAATTTAGTAGCGTGTCTTGGCTTATCACTGACTACTTAAATTACAAGGAATTTCTGAACCGGCTTCGAGATACGACTTACGATTTCCATCTAATTCTTGTATAATAGATTAAATCGATGGCATGAAACGCCATATAATACTGATTTGGATTTTTTTTCTGATGCTTCATATTAAGCTCTTGTTGCTCATACAGACTTATACAGATTATAGCATAAAAAACATTTGTAGTTTTCTTGAAGGTGTTTTGTTCAATGGGTTGATTTGTCAGATTTTGTAGTTTTAATTTGTCTTTCTAGACAATATCGTCAGTACAAACTTAGGAGAAAAGAGCTTTTATAATTTCTCCATCAGTAACTAACAGTTTATTCTGTCAATAGGGATTTTGACTTAGTATTACGTATAAGCGTATTGTCACAGCCCGCATTTATTTTGATGGTTTTGTTCCAGGATCTGAAATCAGACTTTATAGTTCATTATCATTGTTTTGATTAACCAATAGATTAGGTGTTTTTCGATGTCCATTGACCATTAAGTGTGAGGTTTCTGTATGGTTTCTATGTTGCTTCTGTTCACTACTTTATAACGTTTTCTTAGCTGATATTGCTGTCCATAGTTTTCCACATGCATAAATATAGGTAAATATATGTAATGGGTTGGGTTATGGCAGCTTTTAATGTTCACACAAACAAAGATAGAAAACTAACACTGTGTGTTCTCTAAATTTTTATGGCATGCAAATGATATTGATCTTGTTTTCGGTAGTGTATCATTTGTTTTGGATTATATAGATTATAGAAATTTCGTGTGCTTGTTAGCTACAACCATTGTTAAAGACCGTGATTTGGCTGTGATACCTAAAACGTCTTGTATAAATAGTGGCTTCTACAGTCGATTTTATATGTTGTGATGAATTCCGTGTAGTATGGGTGCTCCGATGTTTATTTACTACCTTGAATGCAAAAACTTGAGACTTAAGTATATTAGAAGCCAACCCACACAGAACGTTTAATTGTTGTAGTAACAACCCAATTCGCTGGATTCAAAAGTGTAGAAATTCTTTCAACGCCTTCAATTTGCTAAGAATTGGAATAATACCTGATAGTTATCTTTTAGAAGAATGGATACCTACAAAACCCGTGAAAATTGTTATTATGCGACCTATTACGAAAGTCGAAGTCAGCTGTGAAAACTACTGAAAATTACAGCCGTTCCCTACTTATTCCCTACTTGAAGAACATATCAGAGACCAAGCTTAGTTTGATAGTATCGTAGTTTAATTTTCTCTCCCTGATGATATAATTTCTATGGGATTTGATTAATTATCTTTTTCCTATGGCATATAGGTAGAAGGACATCATTCCGTGGAGCCTTATCCCGAAATAATTCCTTACACGGCAACACCTTTGTTCGTAACCAAAGGTGGAATCAACGAACGAATTTCCGAAGTAATAGCCGAGGTCAACAGCGTAATGGTTATACGCTTACACCAACTGGTCGTCCAACCTCACGGGCTCGTAATGCAGAATATCTTGCTCAAGCTCGTGCCCTTATCCAAGCACAGAATGAAAACGCTCAGCGGTATGATCTTGACAGTTCAAATACAACAGTGTGGAACCCTAGAACCTACAGCGCACCACACAGAAATCTGAATTATTATGCCAAATATTGGGACAACTAATATAGTAATGGAAAATCTTTCACAAGTTCGTTTTCTTCATTAAAATGGCTTTTGATTGCTTTTAACAGTACGTTAAAGTATCCCACTTGTACTCACGTGTAAATGTACAATTTCTATCAAAAGCTCACTGTCATCAACAATAAAACTAACAGGTGCGCGTGTTTTTTATTACCCTTGATATTCACAAACCCAACTCATTTCAGCTATATCTTTTGTATGTAAAACCAAAATTTTTAGAATTACTTACTGGTTAAATTTTGTACTTTATGTAAAATTTCAATCACCAAGCATTTCATTTGGATTATTGCACTGTAGTGATGTTATTTCTGAACTGGTTGCTTTTTAAATGTATCAGTAAATTTACACTGTTGTGCTGTAAGGAAGTTATAATTACAATTCCATATCAATCATTTACTTTTATTTATTTCGTAATGTTGGTCTGTGAGTGAGTGGCGGAATGATCTGCAGTCATTTAGCTACAACGTAGGACGAGGCACATATATGCGTCGGTCCAAGTTGTCACACCTCATTAGCACAACAAGGTGAACACCGAATTCATAGAAATAGCTACTTCAATGGTAGTAATATATAAAAGAAAGATTTTATATAATGATATAATACAGGAAGAAAGAATCAGTTCGTAGAAAGAAAGATATAAAGCAAATTTAATCCTACAGTTTAGCGGAAGACAGAGAGTGTATACACCCACGCCTTTGTGGTCGATTCTGAGCCATGTCACCAAGAGTCTCCAACCACTGGTTACGATAGTCAAGTGGACCCCAACCAAGTAGTCTGCATCTCCCGACATGACTCAGACTAGAAGTTAGTGACTTCAAAGACTGATGCCACGTTTTGGTTTGGCAGTCCCTAACTTTCTTCCAACCGTGTCCAACACTAGTCAGCAGCATTGCGCGTCGTGGTAATCGGTATTCAGGCATACGTAACACGTGGCCCAACGATCTGAGTCGGTGGAAATCTACAACCTCATCAACTGATTTACCATCATTCCCTAATACCCTGCGTCTAACCACACTACTAGTTACCCGGTGATGCGAGCAATATTTCTAAGACATCTGTGATCAAATACAAGCAACTTAATAGTATCCTCTACTTTTAATGACCACGTTTCGCAACCGTAAAGTGGAACAGAACGAGCTGCCGCGCAGTATACACATCCTCTAATTGATAGACAGATATCTCGCCTTCGCCATAGGTGGCGTAAGTTGGTAAAAATCAAACGGGCTTTCTGAACTCGTGCAGAGATTTCGTCAGACACCAACCCATTAGGGCTGGTCATAATTCCAAGGTAAGTGGATTTGTTGACGCGTTTGACTACTTCGCTCCCTATTCTTAGTTCAGATGTTGACGCAGGCCAGTCCTGGAGCAAAAACTTGCATTTAGTGGAGGAGAAGCGCATTCCAAACATCCTGTCATTGTTGCTCAGTGCTACCAAAAGACTACATTTTATCAGCGTCTTCGCCAAACAGGACTATGTCATCTGCGTATTCTAAGTCGATAAGTGGACCTCTTGGTAAGAGATCGATGCCCGAAAGTTCAGCCGACGAGAACGTTATTTCCAGCAGTAGGTCTCGGATGAAATTAAACAGAAATTGAGATAGTGGACAGCACTGCCGGACACCACTTGAGGTTGCGAAATCAGATGAAAGTTCGCCATAAGCTCTGACTCGACTGGTAGTGCTCGGGTAAGGTTTATGTACTTCTGAGGTACGCCTTTCAATAACAAACACTGATACAGAACCTCTCGTTCTGCAGAGTGAAGTGCTGCTTTTAAGTCAAGAAAGATTATCAATTTCGGATGCCGAATAGTGAATATGTGGCTGATGCAGCCACGACCAGGTCTGAAGCTAGCCCGATTTCTTCGTGTTTGCAGTCCACGAGTCTTTGTTAGGCGTCCGATGATTACAAAGGCTAGTATTTTAGGTGATATGTTAGTCACACTAATCCCTTTATGTTTGTCACAGGATGTTTTTACCCCTCATATATTGGGACAATCAGTGATTGCGACCAGTCAGATGGGATTATGTCCAGTTTCCAGATTTTAGCTAAAATGTTAGTCAACCTAGTCGCTCAAACTGAACCTCGTTTCAGATTAGCTATAGCTTTTTCAACTTCAATTGAAATCGGGGGGCCTACTTCGATTTTCCATTCAGGATGTCTGGGAATGTTGGGTAGTTGTAGAGCAGCTGAACCGCTCCTTAAAGTGTTCCGCCGATTGTTCTAAACGTCCGGGTTGAGAGGAGATAAGTGTCGTCATTTTCAGAGATCATCTCACTCACTTGACTTCTTAATTCCAGTTTCTTTTATTAGTCCGGAAAGTTGTCTTGTGTTACATACAGCCCCTGCCTTTTCCATCTCTTTTGCTTTCGTTGCCCACCACTGCTCACGATGGCTTCTTAGACTTTTGGTTAACCTAGATCTGATTTGTTTTCCTCTTCGTCGTATTCAGAGCCTAATGGGATGAGTTTACGAGAATCTATCAGTGCAAGAGACTTAGCAGATATCCATTGGTTTGGTTCAAATCACTAGTAGATGTCGCTGCTGTTTCCACAGCTGCTCGTATATTTTTCCAAGCAACATTTGAATCAGCCTCATTTTCAGAACTGCTTAAGTGTGACCTCAGTCGTCCTCGCTACAAGTACTGTCTGAGCGTTTAGTTTTTTGAAGAAGTCCAGAACGTCTTCTGTAAAAATCATCTTTCACTTCATCCGGGCTACAGTCAGCGGGAGCATGGGCAGAAACGACGAAAAGGCAACGACGTGTGTCTCTATCCTTCTAACTTCTTACAGAGCCGTTTAGCCGAACAGCAGATAGTTGACTGTTAAGAGTGATCCATTCTATACCAACATCCGCCAGTCCACGAGAACTAGTCATCGGGTCGCCAGATAAACGGAGAGTATGTCTCGTCGGCTCTCCGTTTTGGCTAGGTGAGGTCAAGTGAATGACCACATTAGGATCCTGTATACGTGTTTCGGCGACACAGCATGCATCAATGGTACAAGATTCTAGGGTTTTAGCTAAGGAGACTTGCTGGCCGATTTGAAATAGGCTGTAGTTTGAAGATAGGTCTCAGCAGACCTGAGACTGTTTCTCTCACCCGAATCGTTGGCCATGGTGACACTTGAGGAGGAAGTCAAAAGAGCAAGTGCAGTGTTGAAAGTCGATGCAGGAGAAATAATAGGAATTGAAGAGGGAGATTGATTATGAATACAGTGATCTTGAGTGCTGTTAGAGGTATGAGGGTGGTTATCACTTCCCAGTTGCCCACACCGTGGAAGGGTTCTTCTAGAGGTACCTGAAAAGGAAATTGGGTTAGAGGTGGCCTTGGTGACCTGAGGGCGTGACCACAGAACCCAAGGAACAACTGCCTGAAGTTGGCCATACACGACCTTTTTGTGAGTAGTCTTCGTGTTAGCTCCGTACTTGCTGGAACCTTACCACCGGGGACGGGAATCTGTGGGGTAAGGCGAGGTGTGCATTTATAAGATGGACCTTTCCTAACCCCACTCTTCCTTGTGGGAAGACAGCATTGCTGTTATGCTGGATGTCTGAAGAAAACACCTTACTGCCAACACACCTCTGTACAGTCGCCAGTACGACTTCGCTTTCGGAACTTGGGTTTGCTACTTTTAGTCTTACCACTCTTCAACCAACCTGTCTGACATGATAGGACCTTGAAGAATGATAGTTCCAACCAGTATAGCCCGATTGGTTCATAAAAATAGGTAAGACCGACCACCATGTCAAGGTAGCAACAACGGTCGGAATGTGTAGTCTAAATAAATTATTTTGTATATTTGACATATGTAACAGAATAAAAATGACACAATTAGTTATTTTGATTATATGCAACAGACTTTTAATCAATAAAGAGATCTTTATTTCGAACTTCACATGATAATGAACTCTTCGTATTTATGTGTTTTAAAAGGAGAGAAAAAAAAGACGATGAATATTGACGTACATTGAATATCCATTTAACAAAGAATTAATCATTTAAACAATACTCTTAAGACAAATTAAAACTCGTACAATTAATAAAGAGGCTAAATTCAAGATTGAAATGTATATTATGTGTATTGATGTATGTATATACGACGTGTAAAAGAAAAATAACATGAACAGAGTGGTTATTATTATTATTATTATTATTATTTTATCAGAAAAAACAAGATAACAGATTATTTTGTATAGGAATAAATGTCATAATGATTCCCCACGAAAAAAAGAAACAAAACGGGAGAAGGATTATATATATATATATATATATATATATATATATATATATATATATATATATATATAAGAGTGGTATTAAATAAGAGACGAACCAGATAAACTTTAATTATATGTAAAGAACTTCAAGATTAGCTGTGATTTTCCTGTTGACACAAATTAGACTAAGGAAAGGATTAATTAATTGAAATGATTCTCATTAAGAAAACACTAAATGAAAAAAAATGGTTATTATTATTATTTTTTTAAGTATCCATAAGTGATGTATAGTTTCTGTATTGGTTACACATTGAAGTTACACTTTTAAATTAATATCTTTCTAATCTTTTCATTACTATTTCAAATAGTAGAATAGAGCCCGGCGAAATGAGTAACTGATAAATATAAGAAATGCACAATTCGTAGGGTTTTGTTGTATTGGCTTTTTCATTTGTTACATATCATTCTAAATGTTTTATTATTCTGTGGTTAGAATATAATCCTGTTAGAAAGATAGGTAGGTAGGTACACTAGAGGAAATTAGTGAAATAAATTGTTGAGTGTATTGTTTGAGTTTTCTTTTGCAATTATATATATATTTTAACCTTTTTCAGGCATTGGTTGCAAAGTGTGCCATTGTGCAATAGGTCGACGAGGATTGGCTAACATATCTGACCAATGACGTAAACCCGCTCCTGTTTCATTGCAACCTAAAACAACTCGGCCAATTGCTTCTGATGTACCGATTCGATCATAATCTACCACGATCACAATCAATGTTACTTTCTGCAAATAAATAAATTAAGATGAAATGTAGCATGAAGTGATTCTCTGAAGAAAATACGTCTCTGATTTACTAATGCCAGTACAATTCTAATGCATAGGAGGATGTTACATCTGAAAATGGCTTTAGTTGTTTCTTCATCAAAGTTCAAGTGTGACATTTTAGTTTTTACATACGAGCTAGTTAAACTAATCAAGTCAACGCATAATATTGGATTCCGATCCCAGTAGCTCGTTGTAACTATACGAAAAATTAGAGATCACTACACGTGTATCTAAGTTTTAAACAGTCGTCTGGTTTTCTGTTTCAGTATTTTCAAAAGTAAATACCCTCTCAAATGTCATCAAATAATCTAGTGGTTATTTCTAAAGTTGTGAATTATGCTGGGAAATT